TTGTCTGTCAGAGAGTTTAAATTAGTAAACACACCAGAAGCCTGAAGCCTGCTTTAGGACTGTTCTTTATTTTGTTAAATAATAAAGCTGGTTTGGATCCTATCCTCTTTCCACAAGCCTTTTTCTTAATAATGGGAGGTTCCCCGTGGTAAAGGGAACTTCAGCTCTTGGCTCGGGGAACTGGTATTTGTTTGACCCTGTATCAAGCAGAATGGGCACACAAGCTCCCTGCAGGATTCACCGATTTGTCTTTTTCCCCTGAGTTGTTTGTGATGGATTCATGTTAATTATTTTTTGATAACCCTTTGGTCTCCTGGCTTGGCTTGCTCAGCTCCACACCTCTTAGTTGGAGTGGAAACAGCTCATTTGAATGTTTCCTGTTCTCCAAGGACCTTGCTGTGGTTTGCTTTCTTCCTCTGCTTTGAAAGAACAGGGTTGCAATGCCAGGTGTCCCTTTTACTCTGCAGTGACACAGAACATTGCTGTGTTACTGACTGTGGAGAAATGAGCGACTTCAAAGTGCTGAGTATGCAGATATTGCTGGGAAATTCTATGAACTTATTATTTTATAGTCTATATGCTTTTTCTTTAAATAATGTAACTGGGAAATATTCATGTGTTAGGGAAACTGCAGGGTACTGAGAAAAGGGCTCAGTGTCAGACGGTCCCATTCTCCAGTCTGCATGCTAAACTAAGGTCAGCCCAGAACATTCAAAGATCCAGTTGTTGAAAACAGCACCTCAGGTTGGAAAACTCAGTTGCATGCTATTGTTATTTACTCTGGAACACCCCATAGGGCTCTGCCTCTGGCAGCTCAAGGATAAGGCTTTAATGGCCTGTCCTCATTTGACAAGATTGGGGTGTTAAACAGACTTTGCAAAACCCCCATTTTAGCTAGGCCTCTTGACCATACTTTTCAGCTGTTCACGAGTAAAGAGCACTAGCTGATTCTGAAGGGGAACAGATTGTTGTGTGGGCTTGAGTGATCTTCACTTGCTTTCAGGAGAACGACTACCACTGAAGGATATTGTTTATTATTGTGAGTCATTTTGTAGCTGGAGCTTTTTTCTAAGTATGGAATCATTCGTATAATGGTTTCAAAATGTTCCCGTTTCTTCAAATTCTCTTGACTTTCTAGTCTGTGTCATTTTGATAGTCCAGAAAAGACTGTAGCCCATGGCTAAGGAGCCATTAAAGTAGTAGAGTTCTTTGTGAAATAGAATATTCCAGAATGTGGGCAAATCAGCAGTAAAAAATGCTCTTTGGATGTTTTTGTTCAACCCTAAGATTACAGTGAATTTGTTAGATACTGGTGGATACACAGAGAGAATATATCAAACTCGGGTCATCTTGTATTAAGTGATGGGAGGTTTTGAGGCACCCTTTATTAAATTTTAAGACTGGCTTTGGGAATACAGTATAAAAAGCTCATGGAGACTGCTGAACATAAATTCAGAATGATGGTGTTCTTGCCTCAGGCGGATGAAGCTGGTCTCCGCACATGCAGGAAAACAGAAACACACACAATGAAAATCATCAAAACAGCTCACGGAAAAGATATGCAGGTGCTTCGGATCTGTAACCCAGTCAGTCAGCTTTTTATTCCCACACAACACTTTTAGTTTTTGCCTGATAATGTTGATGAGGGTTCTTTGAATATTTTAATGAATCAATTTCTGGATAGTCACAATGAGAACAGGCAAATTTATTCCCAGGAGCTGTGTTTAAATCAAAACAGGTTTGTCAATTCAGGCACTCCAGGAATCCTTACACCTTGTAGTCAAGGGCAGTGATTTCGATAAGACACTTGATGCCATAGATGGTGATAACTCTTCTGTCTAGATTGAACTTACTTGTGAACCACCACATTACCAAGTCCTTCCCTTAAACAATGAAGAGAACAGATCAACTAGCATTTTCCTACATCCTCTATTCCTCAAGGAACACTCTAATTTTTAAAGTGGGCATTAACCAATTTTGTCTTTGAAGCAGCCATGTTTGGCAGGTCATCTCCTAACCTTGACTGTGCTGAAGAGTGCCAGGTTGAACAGGAAACTGTCAATCTCTTTTTGAAATGCTGATTTCAGTTCCTTTGTGTATACTGAGAGTAGAATTAATGAATGAATTTTCAGGCTTTTTATTTGTTTGCCTTTTGAGATTGTCCCTATTGTTTCTACTATTCCTCCATAGCGGGGCAGGGTTCTGAGTTCCCCTGAAGTTCTTGATGTTTGTTGCTTCTTGTGGAATGTAACTGCTCTGTTAGGTCTGAGGTGGCACATTCATGTGGTAGTGTTGCTTGAACCTCCAGGGTACTTGGTGACTCTTAATCTCTTCCTTTGCACACCTGCTGCCTTTTCTAGACTCTTTGGAGAGGTGGCTACATGAGTCCTTAGTTCTCATTAGGTCAGTAAATATTCTTCACTCTCTGGGTATCTTGGGAATTAACCTATCATGTGTATAGTTTGCTCTCACAACTACCAGTCCCTTCACAGCCTAGAAGTCCTTCAGTTTGGTGGCACCACAGTTACTACTTTATGGTGGTCTTGTCACCTGCATTGTTTTTTTGTGTCATGACCATGAATTGATCAGTAAGACCAACATCATCAGGAAGAGAGACATTTGAGTCCCGATGGAGACTTAGAACTTCGGGTCTCATGTTTAGGAGTTCACCTACTTTTGAACAGCATGTGTGATGGCTGCTCCTTTCTTTTACACGTGAATAATCAATTTTCCCAATGCTTTGGATGGAGTACTTATTCTTTACAATTGTATAGGGATCAGTTGGCTATTCCCATGGATTCAGTTCTACTCTGCTCTGTTCTAGATATATGCAGAAATATATCTGTAGCTTTGAAGTGTAGTTGAAAATCAGTTGGAGGGATGCCTCCAGCTTTCTTCTTTTTTGACGTTGTTCTCTCTCATTTAGATCCTTAGTGTTTCTGCATGGTTTTTAAAACAATGTTCTTTTCTGTTTATTTGCTTATTTTGATTTATGTACATGTGTGTGAACATAGTCTGTGGTACCACATGTATACAGGAGCTTGTGGAAGCCAGAAGATGGCCTCAGACCACCCAGAACTGGAGTTAACAGGCATTTGTGAATCTCCATATGGGTGCTGGGAATGGAACCTGGGTCCTTTGCAAGAGCAGCACATTCTCTTAACTGCAGAGCCATATCTCCAGTCCCCTCTGTTATTCTCTATTTCTATAAAAGATCATGAGTGTTTAGAAAGAGACCCTGTAGATTGCTGCAGATGGCGTGGGCTTGGTAGCTATGCATAGCCATCTAGTGCATAAGCACAGATAAATTTTCTGTCTATTTCACCCATGATGTTTAATTTCCAGGGCATAATTCCTTCCTTCCTTTGTGGAGTTTATGCCCTCTGACTTCTTGAAATTGTACACTGTTACATGCAGTTAAATCTCCACTACCTCCCTTTGTCAAATTCATACTCACTGAAAACAAGAAGCAATGTTCTTGACTCCAGAAATTCACCTACCTGATCTTTTCCTTCAGGGTGCAAATGCTCTGGTCACGTATGCTCTCATTAGTGGAGCTGATGACAGCTTCAGAATTGACCCTGAATCTGGAGACCTGATAGCCACCAAGAGGCTGGACAGAGAGCACAGGTCCAAGTACTCATTGTTGGTTCGTGCGGACGACGGCCTCCAGTCCTCAGACATGAGGATAAACATCACCATCAGCGACGTGAATGACCACATCCCCAGATTCTCCAGGCCTGTGTATTCTTTCGACATCCCAGAAGACACAACCCCTGGTAGGTGACATATCCTGAGATGTGTTTTGCAGGGATCACCTTTAATAGTAACAATGGACTCTTCTGGTTATTTTAAGTGGTGAGTAGCACTTACCACATGTTTATCTCCAGTTATAAAAACATATACATTGCATTTTGTGATCTTTTGCATTTTGACATCTTTTATGGGATTCCAAAGAAAATTACTAATCTGAGAGCAGATAAGGAGAAGTAAGCATGTGGTTAATAACTGCAGTCATTTCTGTTTCTGAATGTCCCTGTGCCCCGAGTCATCAGCCTTCATAGCAGCCAGCTCTATCCTCTTTTACTACTTCAAAAATAAGTGAAACCAAGGAAAGTGTGTGAAAAGCTATAGTTAGTGATTCTAGCCTTCACCCGCTGTGTGACCAGGCAGCACAGATCTTTCCTGTAGGCATCCGGTTTTCCTTCTGTAAAATGGAAATAATAATCACTAGAATGGGCAAACTATTGATTTAGAAGATACACGTGAAGCAGCATATGGTGTCTTACACCTGTGATAGTAACATGCAGGAGGTAAGACAGGAAGAGTGCTGGGGACTAGAGGCCAGCCTTAGCCACATTGTACTCATGTCTGCAGAACTCAACTGTGCAGCGAGGCATGGTGGCACATGTCATTAATCCCAGGACTTGGAAGGCAGAGGCAGGGGCAGGGGCAGGGGCAGGGGCAGAGCTATTTCTGAGTTGGAGGACAGCCTGGTCCACAGAGTAAGTTCTAGGACGGCCTGAGCTACACAGAAAATTGGATAGAAGTGACTTCCGAATAACCAACCCCTCCCCATGAGAGTTTCCCCTTCACTTCCTGAGACGAGTTGCTCAGTCCTTAATGAATTTATCAGTACCTCTATTCCTTGTACTGATTACAGAAATGACAAATGACCACTGGCACCAATAACTGCCAGCTCTAGGATACACATCTATAATATTGCTTGGAATCTCAGTTCCCTACACTAGCTTTTGGCTCCAATGATTATATATTAATTTTTTGATAAACTTATCACATGGTAGCATTGGCTGAAACAATGTCAGAAGTAAGATTACCACTCTGTTAATCCTTGCAGAGCAGCCTGAGCTTCTTGGGGTGTCTGACATGGTCCCTGAGTTTGGGTGTGGGTCTTGACTGTGGGTGTGGGTGTGTCAATCTAGAAATCAGCAGAATACTGTGCTCTCTGTTTTACAGTGACTTTCTATTTAAAATATTTAACTGTGAAAACACGTACTTGGTCTCAATCTATACATTTAGAAATATTCAGTATCCGTTGTTCCACTAATTAGACTTGGATTGTCATTCCTTCTGGGTTGCCATTCCTGCAGGTTCCCTGGTGGCCGCTATTTTAGCAACAGATGACGACTCTGGTGTGAACGGAGAGATCAGCTATGTGGTGGAGGAAGACGACGGGGATGGCGTGTTCTTCCTGAATCCAGTTACCGGTGTCTTCAACTTGACCCGAGCCCTAGATTACGAAACGCAGCAGTATTACATACTCACGGTCCGTGCTGAGGATGGCGGGGGACAGTTTACCACCATCCGAGCATATTTCAACATCCTTGATGTCAATGACAATCCACCTGTCTTCAGCATGAGCTCCTATAGCACATCCTTAATGGAAAACCTGCCTCTCGGATCCACCGTCCTTGTGTTTAACGTCACTGATGCAGATGACGGTATGTTGTTCTGTGATGTACTTACATACTCCACGAAAGTCCAGTGCTTATTTTATATGCATTCAATATTAATATTATACGATTAACTACATTATTCATATTTGTTTATAAATGGTATTCTATCAAGGTATATATTTGAGTTTTGACTTAACTGTAAATGATTTTTAAAAAATCAAGCTATTTGTCATATAATTTTTTAATTATACGCACAATATGTTTACATACTTAACAAATTTTACCTTTAATTTTTACTCTAAATATTTTAGCAGCATTTTAGTTAAGTAATTTAGTGGTGATAATAAAGATTCATTCTGAGCTTGTGTTAGATAAAGATATTATATAATACTCTATGTATGCATGCGTGTATAAATGTATTACTCAAACTTTGAAATATAATTTTTATTATATTTATTCATTTACTTGGTGGGTTCATGGGTGTGTGGATGCATATGCCATGGTGTGTGGAGGTCAGAGGACAGTTTGCAAAAGTTAAGTTTCTCCTTCTACAATTTGAGTTCTGGGGAAGGCCAGCAGACTTCACTGTAAGCACATTAACCTGTTCAGCCATCTTGCCTGTTCATAGGTTACTTAAACTTTGAAAAAATAAAATTTTGAAGACAAAAGAGAAAAAAGCCTTAAAGAAAAATGCTTTATAGTAAATAACTAAACTATACATTATCAGACAAAAATAATATTTTCATAATAATATATTGGCAACGATATTATTATTGGAATAAGATTTTGGCAAGAATTGCCTGGGAAGGCTGGGATTTATTTAGCCAACAGTATATAATAAAGTTAAGAATTTTAAAAAAGATTTATTTTATTTTAATTTCTGTGCATGCATGCATGCGTGCCTGTGTGCTCATGTGTTTGTGTGGGTGCATTGCTCTATGTGATTGCATGTATAGAGGACACAGCTTAGACTCTGCTGTCATTGTGTAGGGTTGCCCACCTTGTTTTATGAAACAGAGTCTCTCCCTGGCCTGAAATTTGTCATGTATGCTTGTCAGTCTGGCTGTGGGTTTCCAGATTCCACCTGTCTCTGGATCCCCAGCATGGGAACTGCAGATGTGTGCCACCATGCCTCTAATTTTATGTTAGTTCTGGGGACCAAACATGGGAGCTTATGCTGCAATTCTGGGGCCAACTTTCTATGCTAAACATATTTCTGCCTGGCATGTACATGATCTGTTGAAGCCCACTGTATCCCCTGGAGTAAGTTTCACTTACCCTCAGAATATTAAATGTAAAAACGATTAAAAGGAACGCAGTTAATGTTTCAAAACTTGCTGGAATGATCAATGCACAAGCAGTCACAGAGATACAGTAACTGTAAGCACCAAAACTTTTTTAAAAAGGGTGTTTCCCCCTTTAATTGTGCTGGTTAAAACTGTAAAATTTTCAAGCTACTTTTAGCCATTGTTTAGCCTGAATACTTTTATCAGTGTCATTTCCTGCACCTTGGCTTAAAATAGAGGACATAGTTCCTATTCCTTCTGGATTTGGAGGATAATGATAAGAGTGACCTTGTTTGTAAGAACACCAACACAATTGCAGCAAACACTTCCCGTGTGTCTATGAGCAATGAGTGCTAGCAAGACACTGAAATTTAAAAGATTTTTCTTAGCCTTGGCTCGGAAAGTTCCTGATGGGTCATACTGCCATCTTCTACACAAACAAATATTCTAGGAGAACAACTTTAACATTTTGAGTTCTCTATGCACACACTCAGAGTTTAAACTTTAGGTTATATAATCTCAACAATAAGGCACATCTTATATTATTGTTAAGGCATACGTCATAGCTTTATTGATATAAATGTGTCTATGTATGTTGCTAGAAAGTATTGCACAGAACAAAATTTATAGCTCAGAATTATTGTGGCAATATGTTGGATTTCTGTTCCCTTATCATCCTGGAAAACATGGATGTTTGAGGCATGATGGTCATAAAAGGATATTCAGATAGTGACACAACTGTCACTTTTTCTGAATGAATGTACTCATTGATCTTTGGTGCATGGTACAGACAGAATGAAGACCCAATCTCATAGTTCAGTTCCCTCATTATCTTGTTGAAAGTGTTCTGTGAAGATGAGTGGTAACAGTTGACACTGTGTATCTTTGCCACGTCACAGGCAAGCATATATTAGCCTTTAACATACTTAAGGTAACATTTATAAATTGGACTAAATGCACACATTCATAATGCAGCCAAGTTTATAGTTTCAAAATGTGTTTCATTATTTTTATTTTATGCATTTATATAGTTCTCTATAGTTCTATAGTTCTTGGGAATAAAGTATACACCAAAGGCCAATATAATATGATCACAATGAAACATGCACACACACTCACTCCCATCTATACATGCACACGCCTCCCCCACTGAACACACACCTTTGTGAACCTGCACGACTCTCCTGGCAATCAAGCTCCCAAGAAAAGTCATGGAACCACATGACTTCCAACAAGTTGGCCTTGAATGGTTGGAAAAACAACCTGTATTCAGTGTAGTTTTCCACTGGATTATAAAAGTCCATGAAGTAAAAATTTTAACATTTTACTCAAAATTAAGAAAAAGTATGTGTTTCCTGTTTTTTTGCTCTGACATTTTCTATGAGGAACAGGAGGGGAAATGGTTAGATCTTTGTAATTTTCCAAATAGGGACAGTGTGGAGAGGGGTTCTGAGTCTTTCTGGCGTGCATTTTCTAGGTATAGATTTCAAGGGCAAGGTTGTTTTATTAATTAGACTCTTTGGAGGGAAACACCCCCTTTAAAGTGCAACTCAGTTTAACACTGTTGATTCTAGTTCTGAGATAAGACCTATTTCTTGCCTTAAAACATTCCATGAAATAACATATATGTTTTTGGTTTAGTCATTTTGTCCCTGAAAAAGTATATCATCTTTTAATTAAAACAATTTATCAACTTATTTTTAAAAGTTGCAAAGATGACTATAGTGAAGATGGTAAGGAAGATATATTTACCATTATGTTTTAAACCCTCATTGAAAAGAAGTTTTTAGATAAGCAACAAAACCAGTGAGAGGGCAGATTTCCTTATTTATCTCTGGTTTGTTTTAAGTGGTATTGACTAATCTATTTGTGATTACAAATTAAGCATAAATAGTTTTATTCATAGTGATAGTTGAAGGTTTACATTTTCGTTCCCCGGCCCCTTTCTCTTCATAAAAGGCTGTGAGCTTTGTGATCTTGTCTCTTTCTCCTCCACAGTTTAACATTAACCACGAGGGCCAAGGATGCTTAGATCCACGACAGCAGGCTGGAATGGCTCCCAGTTCAGCTGATTTGTGTGGATCCTGTGCGTCTCCCCTGAAGTCATGTAGAATGTTATTACTGTTTCTAATTTCCATTGATCTTGGCTGGGAACCATTTTGTATGTCCACACAGAACCAAGTTTTCCATGGACAGTCTCTGGTATTGCTTTGACTCCTATGTGTTGGTGGTGGCTGTGGATCTCAATAAGAACAAGAATCCCACATTTGCTTCTGGCTTTAGAAGACTCAGAAAATATATTTATTAAAATATACTTTATATAAAAAGGACTCCTAATATATTCAACTAAATTTAAAATTTTATAACAAAATAGGTGGAAGTTTTTGCAAACTTGGGCCAGTGTAAGAGATGGTAAAGCACTCAGCTGACATTGTTCAATCTGGAGCATTGATACTTTTATTTCTGCAGGTGAACTGGTATATGGTCCCTGATCTTCAGTTGTTCAAGCCCCTAAGCTTATAAATCCGGCTTCATTCATCCCAGAGTAGTTTTCAGTAAAGTATTCCAAAGAATGACCACATGACACAGTCTATGACTCTAAAGATTTGTGCATCAAATTTGCACAAGAAATATTAGATCAGTACATTAGTGTGTGATTTTGCCTTCTGAGTATGATTTCTTAGCATCACACATGTGGGGGGGAGGGAGGGAGAGAGGGAGAGAGTGAGTGAGGAAGGGAGAGAGAGAGAGAGAGAGAGAGAGAGAGAGAGAGAGAGAGAGAGAACCCTTTAAGTCAAGGGACAGACAACACTAGAGAAGGAAATTCTATTACTTGGATAATTTGCCTCAAAGGGAACTAGAGAATCAAAAATACTAAAAGCAAACATGTACTCAAGTGTTTTCAGGCCCCAGAGGAATATCTTTCACAAGAAAATGTTAGCAAACTGTTCTAGGAGATTCTTACTGATGAGCAGACATTGTTTCTGGTAGGTAGGACTCAGAAAGCTCAATAGTTACTTAAGATGAGATGGAAGAACAGGCCTGACATTGAGAGCTAGTTGAGAAAATCTGTTCTGAGGCAGGAAATCTGCCCTCTCACTGGTTTTTTTGCTTATCTAAAAACTTCCTTTCAATACGTTTAAAATATAATGATAAATATATTTTATTTATCATTTTATTTATCGTTTAAAACATAATGATAAATATATTTTCCTTGCCATCCTCACTATAGTCATCTTTGCAACTTTTAAAAATTAGTTGATAATTTGTTTTAATTAAAGATGATATAATTTTTAGGGACGAAAAGGATACTATCTGAATATGGGCCACTGTCAGCATGACCCTCCAGCCTGCGTCCTTTCGTGTACAGCTTTACTGTCAACCGTTCCTTTAAGGACTACGTTTTCAAACGTGTGAATGTGCATAAAGTTTGAGAGGAGCTATTTCCTTAAAGTACATTGCTTGGCCAGATGCATAATAGGAATTAAAAGTATTTATTAGTTCTGACAAGAAATGTAAAAGGAGACTTTAAGCATCCATGACTAATGTCCTACATCAGAACATTTTATTACCCTTCTCTGAAAACTGGTGTCGGCCTCAATAAATAACTGAAGTTATAAATGTTTAGCTAATAATATAGAGAGTGGCATTTGTAGTGTTGGGCCCCAGGGAGTTATGTGATAGAAACAAAGAAAAATTTAGAAAAATATCTGCTTTCTGGAACACTTTCCTCCTCTTCACTTTGGTAATTTAACATTTCAACGTTGCAGTAAATAACATACCCCGTATGGATCATTTGTACGCCAGACTGTAAATGCCTTTCAGATCAAAAGCTTGAAGGAAGCAAAGAGTCATGTGTGCAGTATTTCTAAGTGTATATGCCTATAAGCAAATCATCCACAATCACTTCCTGTACAATCACTCAGAAAATCACGATAGTGGGTAACGTGTCAGAAGTGCGCTACTGTGCAGCAGAACCTTCTCGTGCCTTACATTACCATCTCACCTGTTCAATAAACTTAACTTTCCCTCTTTCACTTCTAGGTGTCAACTCTCAGCTGTCATACAGCATTGCTTCAGGTGACAGTCTTGGGCAGTTTGCAGTGGATAAGCATGGAGTCCTCAAAGCCCTCAAAGCTTTGGACCGGGAAAGCCAGTCCTTCTACAACCTAGTCATTCAGGTCCATGACTTGCCCCAGCCTCCTGCCTCCAGGTTCACGAGCACAGCCCAAGTCTCCATCATCTTGTTAGATGTCAATGATAACCCACCCATGTTTCTTTCCCCCAAGTTGACGTACATTCCAGAAAATACACCCATTGATACTGTTGTCTTCAAGGCTCAAGCGACAGATCCTGACAGTGGCCCCAACAGCTATATTGAGTACACTCTCCTGAACCCTTTAGGAAACAAGTTCAGCATTGGGACCATTGATGGTGAGGTGCATCTCACTGGAGAGCTGGACAGAGAGGAAGTTTCCAATTACAGCCTGACAGTGGTGGCCACAGACAAAGGACAACCACCTCTGTCATCCTCTACTGAAGTTGTGGTTATGGTCCTCGACATCAATGATAACAACCCGGTTTTTTCCCAGGCTATGTACCGAGTGCAGATTAAGGAGAACACACTCACTGGTACAGATATAATCCAAGTGTCCGCAGCAGACAATGATGAAGGCACCAACGGGCAGGTCCGCTATGGCATCGTGGATGGAAACACACATCAGGAGTTCAGGATCGACTCAGTGACAGGTGCCATCACAGTGGCTAAGTCTTTGGATAGAGAGACGATCCCTGCTTACACTTTAACTGTTCAGGCCATGGATAGAGGCAGTAGCCCCAGAACAGATTCCTGCACAGTCGCCATCACTTTACTTGACATGAATGATTTTGTCCCTGTATTCGAGCTGTCTCCATATTCTGTGAATGTTCCTGAAAATTTAGGGACCCTGCCCAGAACCATTCTTCAGGTCAGTATACTTAAGCACAGCAGGATGTATAGTACCATCAAGACCTCAGACCAAAAAGTTTTCTTGAATGATGTTCAGGATCTCCTCTGTCCTCTCACTGTCGGGGGGTGGGGGCAGGGGGGTAGATGCAGATGTAGAAAGCCTTGAAGATCAAGGCTTAAGAGCATCCTGCCTGAGACTTATGTCATTTGCACATGCTCATTTTGTGCACATTTGTTCATTTGAGTATTTTTAAATTGAGTTTTACTATAAGAATAATATCCACATATAAGGCAATGTCAAATTTTTGGAAAGAGTTCATTTAAAATAGTGTTGTATCTTTCCTCTTTACAAAAAAGAAAAAAAACCATAATATACATTTTTGGGAAGCCTTCCACAAATCGTACCCATTGGTTTATAGATAGATTTCTGTAAATATATTTGCATAGTACATACTATTATTTACTACTTTAAGTACAACATCCTTAGACTTTTTTTTATGTGTATGAGTGCTTAGCCCTCATGTGTGTATGTACATGTTACATGTGTGCACCATGTGTGCCCAGTGCTCAAGGAAGCCAGAAAATTGCATCTGATCCCCTAGAATGGGAGTTACAAATGGTTTTGTGTACCACGTAGGGTGCTGGGGACTGAACCTGGGCCCTCTGCAAGAGCAGCCAGTGCTCTTATCTACTGAGCTATCTCTAGGCCTCTACACTCTTGCAATACTGTCTATATCCTTATCCTCTGTTATGTCTAAGTTTGCCTACATGCATTACATGTTAGGTGACTCATTGTAGTGGCATGATGACTCTCCCCTGTAGGTGGTGGCAAGAGATGATGATCAAGGACCGAATAGCCAGCTCTCATATGTTTTGCTCGGTGGAAATGAAGACAATGCCTTTACCCTCACAGCCAGTGGAGAGCTTCGGGTGACCCAGAGTCTGGACCGGGAAGCAAGAGATCATTTCGTGCTGGTTGTCACAGCTGCTGATGCAGGTGTGTCCTTACTGCTTTGCTCAGTTTCGAGTCAGATCCTATGTAGAAAATGAATATAGTTTTATTTGTTACTGAAGCACATGCTTATCGAAATTTGCTAATGCTTGGAGCAGTCCCTAACTTATATTAAGTAGAGTTGATGAGATTTCAGTGGTAAATAGCAAGAGTGTCCCCACCGAAGTGCAGCTCCTGCATAGAAAATTTCCTGTCCTTAAAGCTACCTGAACATCTAAGAGTGTGGCCTTTTACTCCCAGCACACCGAGTAAAGGCCATTTTTACTGTGAAGCATTTTTATATTAATATGGCATGTCTAAATTCTTATAATTCTTATAATGTTCCATGTAATCAGAGTGTTTTAAGGCCCCACTCAAACACCAGTGAGGGATTTTGAGATTATAGCTAATGACATATTCCAAGGACAGTGCCACTCTTCTTTAATTGAGCACTATCCTCCCTTAGGCTGAACTTTCCTTTCTAACTTCTCTCCTTCTCTGGACCTTGTGGAGAAAAGTATTATTCCTTCTATTTTTAGTGTGTATGGATTACCTTGTTGCATTACATGCACGATTTAAAATCCCAAGGAAGAGGAACAGAATGCAGTTCATCAGCCACATATAACTTAATCCAAATTAATCTGAGACCTGCTCACTACGTCCACACTAGCATTCCTCACAGCATTCAGGCTCTAGGTGTGTGCATGCTTCCATAAAACCAACAGAAATTGGCTTTACAAACCAGTCAGGGTGCCTGGTGAGGTTGAATTCAGGAGAAACTGAAAGGGAGTTGGATTTTAGACCCAAAGTTTTATTGCTAAAATATTCTAGCCTCAGCTGTCGTCACTCATTAGAGTTCGAGGCATGTGGTCAACCCCAGACACTCACAAACACAAATATGGTTTGTGGAAAGGAAGTGGCAAGATCAGAAACTGGATGGAGGAACCAAGCCCCTCAAGGGATCTGGGTCCGTAAAACTTGTGGCACCAGGAAGACATCCCAGTGGTGGTGTGTATTCTGCGGTGTGGGAGGCAAGGAAGATTTAGAGGTGCAATGTAGGATGATCTGTGATGGGCAGGGCACAATACACAGAGAGTTCTGACAGGAAACTCTGACTTTGGAGCAGTCCAAGTCAAGAGGCATGGCAGAAAAAGACCTTCCCATTTTAGCTAGATTGCCTTTCCCTCCAAGGATTCCTAAGGATTACTGAAATCAGTGGGCTGGGCAGCAAATGAGATGATGTTGCGTAGGTAAAGGGATGCTGTTTTTTTAATAGCCACCTATGTTAGTCATTACAAAGTTTTATAGACGTTAGTCTTTCAGCACAGGATTTTTTGTTACCATCTCTATTATCCACCATTAGGATGAGAACGTTTAATATTCTGGTGAGTGTCTCATAGCCAGTGAATGGCAAAGTCAGAATGAAGAGGCCTTTAGAGATCAGGGTACTCTAAGTCTTTAGTGTTTGGGAAAGGAGGATTTGAAGCAAGTATTTTCTCCCAAGTCATCTGGTAGATAAGCCAGATAACAGCCAGCACAGAGAAAGGGGAGAATTTTGAATTCAAATCACTCTTGTTTGACTTCTGGTTTCTCCATCATCTGGGTGGATCGAATTATCTTTCTCTACCTTAGTATCTTATACAAGATGGTGTAATGATGTCTTAGTTTTGGTTCTCTGGCTGTGCAAAAATACTTTGGAAAAAAATAGCAAGGGGAAAGGGCTTGTGTATCTCACAATACTAGGTGGCAAGCCTTCACTGTGCAGAGGTGAGGGTGGCAGGAAGTCCATTCTGGTTGCATCACATCCACAGTCCAGAGCAGAAGGCATTGTATAAATGCATGCATGTGTGCACTCAGTCTGATCTTTCATCTTTCTTCAGTCCAGGACTGAGGCTACAAAGTGCTATGGCCAACAGAAATTCCCAATGGCTCTTTGGCCTTCATTAACCCAATTAAAAGAGTACCTTACAAGCATTCACACAAGCCAACATGATCCAGACAGTTCCTCAGTGAGACTCAGTTTTCTGGTGATTCTGGATTAGGTCAAGCTGACAAAAATGAACAATCACAAAGAGTAAATTCAAAATTCTTCCCTTGATGTGTAATCATCCTCTATTTATTAAGCTGCTTAATCTTATTCCAAACCCTGCAGTGAACACAAAAATTTAATAGTAATTCTCTACATTTATTGGTAGCAAAATTTCCAATGAAGACCCTGAGTGTCACTCCTGTACCCACAGACAGAAAAGCAGATATTGTGTTGAAATTTGTGCCTGGTAAACTCAGTTGTCAACTTGATATAAATAGCCTGGAGTCATCTGAGGGAGTCTCATTTTGAGAATTATCTAGATCAGATTGGCCTGTGTCCATGTCTGTGAGGAATTGTCTCAATTGTTGATTGATGTGAGAGGGTTCAGGCTACTCTTAGGCAGTGCCACTACCTAAGAGTTATAAGAAAGCAGAATGAGCAAGCCATAAGAAACCAGCCAGTGAGCATCAATCCTTTGTGATCTCTTCTTCATTTCCTGCCTTCAAGTACCTACTTTGAGTTCCTGCCCTGACTTTCCTCAGCAATAGACTGTTACCTTCAAATATAAGCTGAATAAATCCTTTCATATCCCACGTTGGTTCTGGTCATGGACAACAAAAAGCAAACTGAAAGACTTTACTAGAATATTTTCAAGCTATTGACAGTCCTGTCCTTGGTGACCACAGCCTGTGCACAGATAATTTCCACACATAGTTACTAATTATTTTATATTTTTTGAAAATTTTATACTTGAGTATTCTATTTACCTCAATTTCTCTCCCCACAACTCCTCCTGTGTTTCACTCACTCTCAAATTCACAGTCTCTTCTTTAAATATTATTCTTACACACATGTGAGACTATAATCTCACTGAATCCATTCAGTGTTGCTCATATGTACATGTGTTTGGGGCTGATGAAGCTGGCATAGGATAACCTATCAGGGTACTGGTCCCTGGAGAGGACTGATATTCTCAACAGCCATTCATTGTCCGTAGCTAGTAATCTAAGGAAAGACCTTGTGAGATTTGCCCCACCCATCTTATAATATTGACTGGTCTCAATGTACACATCTCATTTAAATAACTTAAATGGAATTAAACTACTTATAGTGATAATACTTTCCTTAAGAGCCATAGACTAACAAAACCCCCAGTGGTAGGCATGGGGAAATCTCCCTTTGAGTGGTTAATAAGAAAGCCCAAGGAATACCTACACCCAAAACAATATAGGCTTTTTCTGTTGCCCTTGGAGTTGACAGTAAAACCCCCTAACATTTTTGATATTATAAGTAGTTCCACATTGACTAATACAAATATCGGTGGTATCAGGTTTCATAATCTACAATTCAGTCCTCTTTTCCAGGCTTGAGATCTCTGACAAGGGATGTACACATTGGTTACCATGATTAATAGTCAGAGCAGTAGGTGACATGAGAAGATGCAAAAAAGTATGAAGGATCTGAGATATCAGATGACATGTTGTTAAATTTGTAGTGTTCAAAGATCAAGGAACTATCATAGAACTCTTCAAAAAAATGTTTGACAGGTTTATTCCAAATCTTCAAATCGCCTTTGTTCTACTCTCTTGAAATTTTCACCCATTGATAGCCAAGAATTGACCAGCTGTGGCATTATTCTAAAAACTGATGCCAGAGCATATTAGCCAGGAACCCCTTACTTCTTTCCTGCTAAACTCCAGAATGCCAGCCTCTCTGTATTTTAGCTAATGACTGTCTGCATGGCAGTGCACAGAGAAGCTCCCTGTCCTGTGCTCATGGTAAGCTCTACGCATTCTATCAATCTGGGTGCAAAACTAAAACAGAACAGAGCATATAAAAATTCCAGCTTAGCTTTTTAATACCATTAAAATGCTGAATGTACTACAGCTTAATCAAACACAACATTCTGGACTGTAGTTCATGCTTGATGTAGTCAAGTTGACAATCAGGAAGAACCATCACAGCCTTTAAGATCATAAATTGGATCATCGTATCCCATTGCTGTCTTAAAAATCTTCCAGTGGTTACCCTTGACCATATGTCAAGCTACTCAGGAGCTTCTGACCTGCTTGACTTTCTCAAACACTTCCTAGCCCCTTATCTTGAACAATCATGGCACGGGGACTCTAGCTTTCATTCTGTCTCTTTTCTGATCTTTCTTTCTGTGTCACAACGTTGTAGTCTTTATTTTTAGATAGAGTGTCATGTAGCCTATACTGGCTTGGAACATGCTACATACTAAAGATTAGCTTGAACTTCCATTCCTAGTTCTGGGATTATAGACTTGTACCACAAGTCTTAGTTTATAAGATCCTGAGGACTGAAACCAGGGCTTAGAGCACTCCAGGTAATTATTTTGCACTTAGCTATAGAATCAAATAAATTATTTGCACTTAGTACAAAATCTGGATCTTGGTTAAGTCTGGGGAGAAGGGTTAATATGATCAAAATATGTTGTATGAAAATCTTAAATATTTGGTAAAATATTTTAAAATCTAAAAACAAAAATTTCAAGGGCAGATTATTAAGAACTAGTTTAGACATGTTTTATTTGAAATATAATGAGAAATACTTTTATATGAACCAAATATAAACCTTTATTTCTTAGGAAAGGCACTCAGATAGGCACATCACTTACGGAATGATGGAAGTCTGTAGGTACTACCTCTGTGTGCCCCTTGGTGCTTGTGAGAAGAAATGAAAGCACATTATTTGCTCTCAGAATAGCTAGTTAGTTGTGTAATACTTTCCAAAGCTGATGACTTTAAAATGAATGTCCAACTCCCCTGGCTGATGATTAATTAGAGTGAAGCCCCTCATTTGAGGTTGTTAGCTGCTAATGTGTTCAAGGGTAGGCACCATGAGGACAAGTCCTTCATTGTTTCCACTTACTGGCTTAGGCACCATATTCCCTTTTACAGAGCATTTATGAGTTTCTTCTTTGAGGATTGACATTTTTATTAAAAAGTACTTATTT